GTAGGGAAATTGTGACTTGCCTATGATGACACAACTGGTAAGAAATAAAACCAGGACTAGACCTGGGGTTTCTGATTCTTGGCCCTGAGACTTTTCCCTGTCTTCACCCCAATTAACTAATCATGTAGTTCTCAGGAACTACTGGATTATAAAGGAAGGTCTCCTGTTGTTGATGGATCGGCCTCCCAACGGGACTGACAATGAGCCTTTTGTGCCTGTCTAGGACAGGTTCTCAAACCGCTACAGTGGACCCCGTGAAGGGAGGTTCACAGGGCTGGCCGAGGGCTCGCCACCCAGCACCCCATCCACCCCTGCCCACCAGGAGCCTACCAGCCCGCGTGGCACCAGAGGCCACCAGTCGCTGGAGGCCCTTCTTCTTGAGGATGACGCTGCTGCCGATGAGGAAGCTGGCCAGGATGGCCAGCCCCAGGCCGACATAGAAGCTGTAGTTCTGCCTGAACCTCTCTTGCCAGCTGTTGGAGATGCTGGGCTTGGGGCTGAGGTCACCGACGATCTGGCACAAGACTTGTTGGGAGGAGCAGTACAGGCTGATTAGGGAACCTACGGAAGACCACGGTGAGAGTCATGCTGGGGACATTTGCATGCAGGCTAGGGACATTTGCATGCAGGCTAGGGACCTTATCTTCGTGAACTCATCAAGTGCTTCCATCCATGTGTCAGATAAGTGCTGTCTTTGATTCCCATTTCATAAATGTGGAAATGGAGTCCTTGCCTAAGAACACAGGCTGTCTGACTCCAGAACTCCAGCACCTCACCACTAAGCCAGACTGATGCCCCCCACACACCGCGCAGGGTCCCCACAGCTCTCAGGCCTCATCGAATCCAACCTCCCGGCCTCCACAGGAATCCCCTCCCAGCCTCTGGGCACATGGGCCTCCAACAGCTCAGGATCATACAGGGATCCTCCCCTCCCAGAGGCCTCTTCACTTACGTATCCCTAACTGCAGCCACAGTGCAGAGTCCTGACAGGTAACAGGAGGGAGTGAGGCTGGAGCCCACAGCCCCTCCTAGGCCTGAAGATGATGAGACACGAGCATCCTTGTTTGTCAGAACCGACCATCCCCAGGCCTTACTTCAAAGACCTCTGGTGCTTGTGGTCAGGGCTGAGGCCTCCTTCAGGGCTCAGAGAGATCAGTGTCCCTGCCACCCCATGCAGGATCTGTCTTTAGCTCTCCTTCCAAGTCCTAGAGTCCATGAGAGTCAATCAGTTCTCATGCCCTTGAGCCAGCACACCCTTGCTGGCTCTTCTGGCACAAATACCAAGGACAACAGGACAAACTTGGGCATGAGAGGCAGACCCTCAGTCAGAAGAACTAAGCTGCCCAAGTTCAAGGAATCAGTACAAAGCACAGGCAATAATCCTCTGGTACTCCCAGGGCCCACCACCCTGGGGCTTCTCAGGAGCATCCCTATCATGGAAACGGCAGAGTGGACATGCCCAGGGTTTTAGCTGAAGAAACCGGGGCCCTGGTAAGCTTGGTAACCTGCCTAAGGCTACACTGGTGGTAAGTGGTGAAGCCAGAATTGCTTCCCTAGCCCGTATAATGGCGAAGTTCATGCTCTCAGTCACCAGCGGCCCCCGCCCCCACACACACAACACACACACACACACACACACACACACACACACAGCAGGTGGCAAGGGGGATGGGGTGTCATTTAGCCTCTTGAAGGTTACCTTAAAACATGAGCTCCATGCTAACATTTAAAAATCAGGAGATTTCCCATGAAAGTCCAGCTTCAGGGCTGCCTTTGCTTACTCTGCCGGGCACACGGTCCCAGAGGCAACAGTAAGCTGTGGCTCGGCAGTGGTTTTACCCCTAGGCAGGACGTGCTCTTTGCGATTCCCCTGAGTCCACACGCGGCTCCCTTCAGTCATTTTTGTTATGTGCTCGGCCCCTAATAAGCATCTGAGTTTGTGACCTTTGGTAGAAGGTCTTTTTCAAACTGTGGGTCACAAAGACCCAGGCTCATGTGCCAAGGATGTAGGCCTGGGCCAGGCACTTCTCCTTGAACCAAGCTAGATCTCTAGGCCTGCACTAGAAGGGCCCAAAGTCCAAAAGGTCAGGCAGCTTTAGCTTTGGCATATCTAGAGCACGGAGTGGCATTCTGGCGTAACAAAGTCAAGGGCACACTGTTGACCTTTCTTCCATGGCACAGAAGCATGGAACAGCAGAGCTGGAAGAGCCCTTAGAAGGCATCCTTTCTAACCCTCTTTCTTTTCAGCTGGGGAAACTGAGGCCCTGAGATGGGGAAGGATTTGCTTGAGTCTCATAAAAGCCTGGTGGCAGAGCTGGGTCTGGAACCCACCAGGGGATGCCCATGTGTCTTCTGCAGTGGGAGACCTCTCTTTCCAACACCTGCGTCACAATCCAGAGAAGACGAGACAAGAAACCATCTGGGTCCCTAATCAAACTTGTTCTGACTGCTCACTCCTGTTCCTCAGTTAGGGCAAGAGTCAAATCCTGGGAGTTCCCTGAGTTCAGGAAAAGAGCCAGAACCTGGGAGGATGTGGGCCAAGGAGGGCGACTCCCAAGAGGAAGGCCAAGCCCATTTCCACCCCCTTCCCCCGCCCTCCTGAAGGTTCATCTCCAGCAGGTGGAGCCAAAGGGTGGGCCTGGCTCTTTGGGGGAGGCTTGAGGCATCCAAGGGGCACAGTGCCCTCCATCGAGTCAAGTCCTCCCACAGGGGTAAAAAGAAAAGGAGAGGGCTGATGGCCAAAAGGAAATCCAGTTCTGAGGAGGGTGCTTGCTCATCTTGACAAATGGGTGTTGGGCCAGATGATTCCTGCTTCTCTTCCTGAATATGCTAAGACTGGGGAACATGTTTTTCCCCAGGGGAAGACGAGGCTGAAAATGGACTGCATCATTGTTCAGAAAACCAAGGCCAGCTAACACCCAACAGGCCCGCTTTGAAAGCTTCACTGGAGAAGAGACGTTAGAAAAACAGGGATATCCCACAGGCTGCATACCAAGACCAGGTAGGAAAATGGAGAAACAGAAAGGAGATGAGCACAGTACAGGTTTTAGAATCCAAGAGCCCTGGTTCTATATTCCATTTCCCCACTGTATTACCTTGAGCAAGTTCATCAGACTTTTCAGAGCCTCATTTTCCCTACTTCCAGAATGGTGACAGGAAGGTAATAATATCTACCTGCCTGCTAGAGTTGTGTTAAGGATTAACTGGGATAATGCAGGTAAAGAGCCTAGTCCACTACGCAGCTTCATAATAAGAACTTGAGCATAAAGCCCAGAATCTTTCCTTATCCTTTCCTGGGTTGTTCTTTCCCTCCTTTTCCTAAAAGGTGCATGTGGGTTTGGGGGTGGTGAGTCTCTGCGCCCTCTACCCTGTCTTTGGTGAGCCCCAGGGGGACAGACCTGGGCAGGTACTAAAATCTGAAGCAACTATACATAAAAGACACCCCCCCCCCCCCCCACATTGCTTGTTATTTTCTGCCCTCCCGTCTAATCTCCTTCCTTCCAGCAATAGAATGACTCCTGCCACCCCCCCCCCCGCCCCCGCCACACACACCTCTTGGTAGACCCGCTCCAATCGATAAATCCCGCCTCTTCCCTCCCACGCACGTCCCCCTTTCTCCCATTCCCCCCTCAGCTACCCAGCTCCAAAGAGGGGGAAAGCCAGAACCCTGCTCCTTCCCAAGACGGGCCTGAGAACTGGGTGGGGGACGACGCATGAGGACCCCCTCCCCCGTTTCGGTCCCCCTGGCAGGAGAGGACGCAGAGGAAAGGAGCAGCAGGGAGGGAAGGCGAAGCGCAGAGCGCACGGGGTCCCCTCTGGCCTCACGCACCGTTCTCGCAGCTGGCGTTGCTGGCCGGCAGCTCCATGGGGCGGACTGTGCCCCGGCTCCCCGGCTCCGGAGCAGGTGGCTGAGATTTGTCCCCCGCGTGGCCGGCGTGCGAGGAGCAGCCGGGGTCGGACCTGGGGGTGGGGAGAATGACGCGCCCCAGAGGGGGAGGGTCCCCGGGGAGGAGCCGCCCGGCCTCTTGGGCAACTCCGTGGGCCTGGGGCCCTGTGCTCGAGTTGCCCGCGGAGGGGCGCATGCCCGCCGGGGGCGCGGAGGCTGCCCGGATCCCGGAGAGGATCCCCAGGCAGGAGGCGAGGGGGCGGGTCCCCGGGCGCCGCCTCTCCTTGAGACGCCAGACCAGCACCTAGACAGTTGATGGGCTCCAGCGTGGCTGGAGAGGGGGCAATTTTCTGGCTGAGGTAGAAGTGGGAACGTGGGGACTAAAAGGGGGGAACTGCTGCCAGTTGGGGCTCTCTCGGGCCATGGGCATCCAGGACACTGGGTTTTTTTCCTTCCTGCCTGCCTTCCTGGCTTCCTACCTCCCTGCCTTATTTAAATATTCATTTAACGTAGGTCTGATCTGTACTGGGGTACTAATATGCAACAGCCACAGCCACATAGTAGGTGCTCAATAAAGGGCGATACATATATGTTGAATGAATGGGTGATACAAGCTTGGTAAATTGAATGAAAGAAGGAAATGAAGTAATTGGAGACCAAAATGAATCAAACACATTCCCTGTCCCCCAAGAACCTTATATATTATTAATAGGGGAAACAAAATGGGATCAACTATCTAGAGACTGGTGTTTTCCAAATCACCATCAAAAAGAAAAATGGTGGTGAGGCTTCCCTGGTGGCGCAGTGGTTGAGAGTCCGCCTGCTGATGCAGGGGACACGGGTTCGTGCCCCGGTCCGGGAGGATCCCGCATGCCGCAGAGCGGCTGGGCCCGTGAGCCCTGGCCGCTGAGCCTGCGCGTCCGGAGCCTGTGCTCCACAAAGGGAGAGGCCACAACAGTGAGAGGCCCGCGTACCGCAAAAAAAAAAAAAAAAAAATGGTGGTGATGGAAAGTATATTTGTTACTGTGGATGCTAGTAACAAAAGTTCGAGAAACACTGAGCTGGACCTTAAAAACACTTGTGTTTTGCTTGCTAAAGGCCAGGCACAGCTGTTAGTGCTGAAAAATCCCAGTTCATTTAATCCTCATGACAAACTTACTTGTAGCTTTATGATTTATAGAAAGGAAACTGAGGCACAGAGTGAGCTAGTAACTTGCCCCGGGGTCCTAGCTAGGAAGCAGAAGAGCCAAGATGAAATGCATGCTCCCCGCAGCCACACCAAGCCTGGCATTTTACGCTGAAATAACTCTGCTCCCAAGTAGTGAGGACTGCCAAGAAAATAGTGGTGGGGGCCGGTAGGTCACTGGCCTTCTGGAGGAAGTAGCTTTTAAAAGTAGTTATTTACTGAGTCTTCACTCTGGGACAGATACTGTACTAAAGGCTTACAGGCATTATCTCATTTAAGCCTTCTGTGAGGCAGGTGCTCATCTCCATGGTACAGATGAGGGAAAACGGTATTAAAATTATTTTGATTATGAAGTAATTTTGAATTTACAGAAGAGTTACAAAAATATTTCACAGAGTTCCCATATACCTGTCACCAGCTTCCCCTAATAACATTTTGTATAGGAATAGAAAAAGCCATATTTTAAACACTGATAAACTACCCCCGCCCCCTCCCCACAAGGTCCCATAGCCAATAACTGAGGGCGCCAGGAGTAAACAGAGCTGCTATATCCTCACCCGGTCTCCCAAGCCACCATCCTCCACCCTCTGCTGGTGGCCTTCTAGCTGGGCCTCAAAGGGAGGGTCCTCGCAGCATGTGGCTTCCCTTAACTTGCTGGATGACTTTAAAAAGTCACCTTCTCTCCAGAAGGATCAGTTTCCTTATCTGTCAAATAAGACAGCCCTTCCTGCTCCTTTCTGTGTGTGTGTGTGTGTGTGTGTGAGTGTGTATCTGTGTCTGTGAACCACCATGGGGTCCAGGGTGGGGTGGGTAGGGCAGAGGTTAGAAAGGAAAGGGAAGCCATAGGTCTTGCCCATATACCAGATCCAAGTTCATGTATCTTTACCCCTAACACCCAGGCCTGTCCCTAACCTTGGAGGGATGTGGCACCAGAGTTCAAATGGACGTGAATACTTCCGAGACCAGCATGAGTACTTTCAAGACACAAAGGAGCCGGAAACTGGAGACTGGCCCCACTGGGAAATGATACTGCATTAGAGAAAAATCAATGTAACCATGCCACCTGGGAGGGAGGACTTGACAAGGAATTTACTTTGTCTTTTCTCTTACCTAAGCATTTCTGCTGCCCAGATCCCACTTGTGCTATAAAAGAGTGTCCATCTCTGAGGCTGGCCAAGGTACAACCCTCAAACACTCACTGCATTCAAACTCCAGCGCTTTTGTTCCAAGGACATAGGATGAGAGAGATGGAGTGCTTTGCATTGGCCTGGGCTTTTTAAGTCACAAGAGAAGATGTTTGGTTATAGTTGCCTTGTGCCAGAGATGGGCCTGGATCTTGCGAGACTTTAATACATTAATTGTATATGTGTTTGTGATCTGTGGAGCTGCTAAAGTTCAGGGTAGCGGGCAGGGGCCTCTTTGCCCAGGTTAAGGACAATACTGAGTTCACCCTGTGATTTGAGACAGGGCTTTTCAGAGTTAGGTGGATTTCATGTTTCAGGGCAATGGGCCGAGGTGGAGGGAACTGGGATCTATTGGAGGGCCTTCTATACCTTCTCTGGGCCTCAGGGTCCCCATTTGTTCTAGGAGGGGGTGGGGCCTCCCCAGGGCTGGCATCGAGCATCCCGAGCATCCCGGGAGTGCAGACATAAAGGGCCCCATTGAACTGCAGGCTCCTCGGCTGCTGTCCTGACAAAGCCCTTTTCTCCCTGAGCCACAAAAGCCCTGTCAGGTAGGTAGCAGGGCCTGCAGCATTGTCTCCCCAGAAGAGAACAACAGGGTTCACTGTCCACCCCAGGCTCAATCTCCTAGGGGAGGGCGCATAGCTTTGGAAGAGTCTAACTAGCCAGAGACAGATGGGCTCTGTCCTTAGCCAGCCAGGGACGGGTGAACCAGCCACATCTCATTTGGTCACTTATTCAGGGACGAGCAGGAAAACAAATTTACCAAAACCCAAATTCCTAAAAATTTGGCTTTTAAGTGCATGCCCAAATGTTTTATGTTATAGAGCTGCACTGTCCAATATGGTAGCCACCAGCTCCATGTGGCTATGGAGAACTTGGAAAGTGGCGAATCTGAACTGTGCTGTATGTGTAAAATAGGCACTGTTAACATTTGGGGCCAGATAATCCTCTGTGGGGGGCTTTCCTGTGCACTGTAGGATGTTTAGCATCATCCCTGGTCTCTGCCCTCTAGATGCCAACAGTACACACATACCTCTACCTGCCACCCTCTACCCCTCTTGGGTGTGATGACCAAAAACATCCCAGACAATTGCTCGAATCACCCCAGATCAAGAATCATCCAGATTTCAAAACTTAATAAGAAAAAAGCTGTAAAATATCTCATTAAATAATTTTCTAGTAGTGATTACATGTTGACATGATTATTTCTTGGATACACTGGGTTAAGTAAAATATATTATTAAAATTAATTTTCTCTACTTCTTTTTACTTTTTATAAAGTGGCTGCTGAACAGTTTACAACTACGTATAGACGGTGGCTCACATTCTATTTATACTGGACAGTGCTCTTATAGAGGAAGAGACTGAGGGCCAGAGAGGGAAGATGACCAGTGGCGGGTCACAGAGCAACAAAGAGGCAGAGTCAGGGTTCCAATCAGGTTTCCAGACTGGTACTCCAGACCAATGCTACTACTCTCACACACCTTCACAGCTGAAAAGAAATCCCAAAATCAGTGCACTGGGTGTTTCCAGGGTGGTATGGCCGAAAAGCACTGGGGGAGGAATATAGAGTAGAGACGTGAGTAATAGGAATGCTATTTATAGAGGCTTGCTATATATTATATGCATGCTTGTTTAATCTTTGCAACGACCCTAGGAAGCAAAGGTTTATTATTATCCCCTTTTCCAGTCCAGTGAGGACACAGCCCGTTCCTTGAGAAGCCAAGAATCAAATGCAGACACTCTCTTCAATACCACACAAACTACTTAGAGTCCCAAGTCTAGAAACAACCCATGAGACTTGGGTAGGCCACTTCTCCTGGCATCCTAACACCAGGTAAAAGGGCTGGAAAAGATGTAGCTTATGGTCCTTTCCAGTCCTAGAGAGCTGGTCTTCTGGGCAGGGAGGGCAAGGACAGAGGGCTGTCTCCTCCTTCAAGCCAACCTGGGATCATGGGACTCTAGACGGTCAGTATGCAGAGGCCGGCCTACTCTTTTCTTCCATGTGGTTCCCCAGGATGGCTGCTGTCCTCAAAAAGAGCTTTACTGTCTTATGCTCATAAAGAGCATTAAGAAATAATGCTTGGAATGGACACAAGTGCACTCAGACTGGCCCTAAGAAAAGCACCGTGCCCAGAGATGAGGTCCACACGCAACTGGCATCAATCATGATTATTAAAACAGCACACCGAGTCCTTCCTCTGTATGCTAAGAACTTTGCAGGCATGGGCTCACCTGGTCATTACAATCCCTTACTCTGGGTACCATTTTAAGTCCCATTTTATAGATGAAGGAACTGAGGTTCAGAGAAGCGAAGTGACTTTACCAAGGTCACACACAGTGGTAGGGACAGAATTCCAAGCTGGGCTTGGGCATCCCCAGAGTAGTGCTCTTAACCAAGGCACTGGTTTGAGGAGGCCAGGGTCTTCTTCCCAGACCTGTTCCTCGTCCTTCTCTGTATGGGGTAGCTGGGAAGACTGGGACCATCCAGAAACTACATGGAGCGGCCATACGATCTCCTCATCGGCCATCCTTCAGAGTTAGAGCTGGAAGGGCTCAAGGAATCCAACCCTCTTAGTTGGCAGATGGGGAAACTGAGGCACAGACAGGGGCGAGTTCACGCCCAACATCACTCTGCTAATCTGTGGCAGAGTCAGTACTTCACTCAAAGTCACTGGAATCCCAATCCAGCGCTTTTATCTACTACTATGCTTTCTTTCTGGGCAGAAAGGGGCGACCTTAGGGCAAATAATAAGAGGTATTACTTTTTGGTCACTTTTTAAGGCTGAGCCAGTGCACTGAGAATTTTACACACATTATCTCATTTACTCCTCACAATAAGCCTATGAGTTAGGTACTGCTATGATTCCTATTTCAGAGATGAGAAAACTGAGGCTCAGGAAGGTTAAGTAACTAGTCTGCAATTAAATAGTGGGACCATGATGAAACTCAGCAGCCTGATTCTGGGGCCATTTCTTGACCGCTCTT